GACTGGTGGTGGTGGTTGTAATTATCCGTAAATGGTGTCGTGGGTTTAACTCTGCAACACAAAACCGGTTCAGTGGTGAACTAGTAACCCATTGGCACGGTTTATGTTGTTACCGTGACTAAAGCTTACTGATTGGTGGTGTCGGGTAGTGGCAGGTGTAACGACAACATTTCTTATTTACCAGATCGAACCCCACCCTTCTGCTACACTACTGCTACTACCACGTGTTAAAGTAGCGGCTCTTCACCTTGAATGCAGCCTCGCACGCCGAAGCGTTCTAAAAACAACAACAACAACAAATCTTCGATTTAAAGCTTTCGTGACTGCAGGGATTCATATTATTCTTGGTTCTTTCGGTAAAGTCACCACGTAGAAGGGAAACAATAAACCGAAAAAAAATAAAAATATGTTTTAATAATAAAAATAAGACTTTACCGAAAGAACCAAGAATAACAACAAATCTTTTTGCGCTAATTCCTTTGTCAAGGCACCTTGTTTACTCGCACACAGCTTAAAGGTCGCGGTCTGAGCGTGGCTGTGTTTCACTCCAGCGCTGTCCTCGAGACGGCCCGGTCCCTTCACCTGATGAGGGCCGCTTGTGTTGTGGCCGAAACGTCGTGATTTTTGTTGTTTTATTTTTCACCTACGTGACTTTACCGAATAGAACCAAAGAGTATGGATCCTTGCAGTCACCAAAGCTTCAAATCTAGAATTGACAACGAATCTGTCCGTGTCTCGCTCGTCCCCAGCGAGGTGATGAGCGATGCACCCCAGGTGAAGGACAAGACGGAGACGGCAAAGGGGTCGTCCATAAATGACGTCACGCACCTAGGGGGGGGAGGGGGTCAGAGCTTTGTGACGTCATATTTGAGGGGGAGGGGTCTGACTTTTTGTGACGCCGTGTGAGGATGGGGGGGGGTCAAAAATCATCCAAAAATCGCGTGACGTCATTTATGGACGGCCCCCACGTCGTAGTGTCACTGCGTTCAACCCCCCCACCTCCTCCCCCCCACCTCCCCCCCACCTCCCCCCACCACCTCCCCCCACCACCCCCAGGGCTGCCGGCACCCGTCGTGGTTTATTTTTCTCTCCGTGGGGCCGCCTCCTCCCAGAGCTCCCCTGGGCCACGGCGCTCCCCTTGCCGTGACCCTCACCAACATCACTCACCCCTCACCCCCTCCCCCCTCACCCCTCTCCCTCACCCCCTCCCCCCTCGTCCCCCCCTCCCCCTCGCCCCCCCTCCCTCCCCACTCGTCCCCCCCTCCCCCTCGCCCCCCTCCCTCCCCCCTCGTCCCCCCCTCGCCCCCCTCCCTCCCCCCTCGCCCCCCCTCCCTCCCCCCTCGTCCACCCTCCCTCCCTGCCCCCTCGCCCTCGCCCCCTCCCCCTCCCTCCCCCCTCACCCCCCTCCCTCACCCCCCTTCCTCCCCCCTCGTTCACCCTCCCTCCCCCTCCCTCCCCCTCCCTCACCCCCTTCACTCCCTCCCCCTCGTCCACCCTCCCTCTCCCCTCCCTCACCCCTCCCTCGCCCCCCTCCCTCCCTCCCTCCCTCCCCCTCACCCCCCCTCCCTCCCCCCTCGCCGCCCCTCCCCCTCGCCCCCCCTCCCTCCCCCTCCCGGTGGGGGCGAGGGGGCGGGGTGCGAGGCCCCCACCACCATCCACGGGCGACTCTGTTGGTGTCCCACACAAAGGCAAAGGTTCCCCGTGTAGCCCGGAACAGACTGCCGGGGCAAGTGCTGTTGGCGAGCAGCACCTCTGAAGGCCGAGGCGGAGCGCGAGGGGGTGGGGTGGCAGCACCACGCCCGGCCGCCTTTGTCTCCCCAGTGGCGATGTTTACTACACACCGCTACACCAGGTACTCATTTGAGGCCGAGTCGACCTAGGGGAGGCCCAGGACCGGTTGTGATAATCGTCACTGCTGGTGTTGAGCGTGAACGGGAATGGAACCCCGGGAGACGCTGGGGTCCTAGCGCGGTGCTCACAGCTACACAGACACAGACACGGAGAGTCGCTCACAGCTACTGCGCTACACAGACACCCACAGACACCCACAAACACCCACACGCAAAGTCCCTCACAGCTACTGCGCTCCACAGACACCCACAGGGAGAGTCGCTCACAGCTACTGCGCTCCACAGACACCCACAGGGAGAGTCGCTCACAGCTACTGCGCTGCATAGACACCCACAGGGAGAGTCGCTCACCGCTACTGCGCTACACAGACACAGACACGCAGAGTCGCTCACAGCTACTGCGCTACACAGACACCCACACGGCGAGTCGCTCACAGCTGCTGCGCTGCACAGACACCCACAGACACCCACACGCAGAGTCTCTCACCGCTACTGCGCTACACAGACACCCACACGCAGAGTCGCTCACAGCTACTGCGCTACACAGACACCCACACGCAGAGTCGCTCACAGCTACTGCGCTACACAGACACCCACAGGGAGAGTCGCTCACAGCTACTGCACTGTACAGACACAGACACGCAGAGTCGCTCACAGCTACTGCGCTGCACAGACACAGACACGCAGAGTCGCTCACCGCTACTGCGCTGCACAGACACCCACACGCAAAGTCGCTCACAGCTACTGCACTGTACAGACACCCACAGACACCCACACGCAGAGTCGCTCACAGCTACTGCACGGCACAGACACAGACACGGAGAGTCGCTCACCGCTACTACGCTGCACAGACACCCACAGGCAGCCTCGCTCACAGCTACTGCGCTGCACAGACACAGACACGGAGAGTCTCTCACAGCTACTGCGCTACACAGACACAGACACGCAGAGTCGCTCACAGCTACTGCACTGCACAGACACCCACACGCAGAGTCGCTCACAGCTACTGCGCTGCACAGACACCCACAGACACCCACAGACACCCACAGACACCCACACGCAGCGTCGCGCGTTCCTCGCGAGCCTCTCGCTCGTCACACCATCGTCATCGCGGGATGAGGGCGCGGGGCTCCGCTGCCGCTGCTGCTGCCGCTGCACAGAGGCCGTGGCGGGAGCCGCGCGTGGTGCACACACGGAGGGCACACGGAGGAGACATCGACACACGGAGGGCACACGGAGGAGACATCGACACACGGAGGAGACATCGACACACGGAGGGCACACGGAGGAGACATCGACACACGGAGGAGACATCGACACACGGAGGGCACACGGAGGAGACATCGACACACGGAGGGCACACGGAGGAGACATCGACACACGGAGGAGACATCGACACACGGAGGGCACACGGAGGAGACATCGACACACGGAGGGCACACGGAGGAGACATCGACACACGGAGGAGACATCGACTAACGGAGGGCACACGGAGGAGACATCGACACACGGAGGAGACATCGACACACGGAGGAGACACGAACACACGGAGGAGACACGGAGGAGACATCGACACACGGAGGGCACACGGAGGAGACATCGACACACGGAGGAGACACGAACACACGGAGGAGACACGGAGGAGACACGGACACACGGAGGAGACATCGACACACGGAGGAGACATCGACACACGGAGGAGACACGAACAGACGGAGGAGACACGGAGGAGACACGAATAGACGGAGGAGACATCGACACACGGAGGAGACACGAACAGACGGAGGAGACATCGACACACGGAGGAGACACGTGTGAGCGTGAGGTGTGAGTGGCTGTGTCTGTTTTGCCTTCGTGTGCCCCGGGTGTCTCTGCCTCGCGTCTCTCCGTCTCTGGGACCCCCACGCTCGTGACACCTCCCATCGACGACGAGGATGATGTTGATGTTGTTAATGACGATGCTGGTGGTAGGCGTGATGGTGGTGATGATGTTGATGTTGTTAATGACAATGCTGGTGGTAGGCGTGATGGTGGTGATGATGATGATGTTGATGTTGTTAATGACAATGCTGGTGGTAGGCGTGATGGTGGTGATGATGATGTTGATGTTGTTAATGACGATGCTGGTGGTAGGCGTGATGGTGGTGATGATGTTGATGTTGTTAATGACAATGCTGGTGGTAGGCGTGATGGTGGTGATGATGTTGTTGTTAATGACGATGCTGGTGGTAGGCGTGATGGTGGTGATGATGTTGTTAATGACAATGCTGGTGGTGGGAGTGATGGTGGTGATGATGTTGTTGATGTTGTTAATGACGATGCTGGTGGTAGGCGTGATGGTGGTGATGATGTTATTAATGACAATGCTGGTGGTAGGCGTGATGGTGGTGATGATGATGTTGTTGTTAATGACAATGCTGGTGGTGGGAGTGATGGTGGTGATGATGTTGTTGTTGTTGTTAATGACAATGCTGGTGATAGGCGTGATGGTGGTGATAATGATGTTGATGTTGTTAATGAAAATGCTGGTGGTGGGAGTGATGGTGGTGATGATGATGTTGTTGTTGTTAATGACAATGCTGGTGGTGGGCGTGATGGTGATGGTGATGATGTTGTTGTTGTTAATGACAATGCTGGTGGTGGGCGTGATGGTGATGGTGATGATGTTGTTGTCAATGACGATGACAAAGCTGGTGGTGAGAGTGATGGTGGTGGTGATGATGATGATGTTGTTGTTGTTGTTAATGACGATGACGATGCTGGTGGTGGGAGTGATGGTGGTGATGTTGATGTTGTTAATGAAGATGACAATGCTGGTGGTGGGCGTGATCGTGATGATGATGATGATGTTGTTAATGACGATGCTGGTGGTGGGAGTGATGGTGATGATGTTGTTGTTGTTATTAATGAGGATGACCATGCTGGTGGTGGGAGTGATGGTGATGTTGTTGTTGTTATTAATGAGGATGACCATGCTGGTGGTGGGAGTGATGGTGATGATGTTGTTGTTATTAATGAGGATGACCATGCTGGTGGTGGGAGTGATGGTGATGATGTTGTTGTTGTTATTAATGAGGATGACAATGTTGGTGGTGGTGGGGGGCGTGATGGTGGTGATGGTGGTGATGATGTCACAACGGGCGCCGTGTCGCTGCGGGCGATGTTAACGGGCGGCTTTGCGGGCCCGTGGCTGGTTGCAGGATGTCCACCGTGGCGCTGCTGATCCTCGTCGCCTCGCGGCGCCTCCTGCTGCTGCTGCCCCTGCTGCTGCCCCTGCTGCTGCTGCCGCCGCCGCTCGGCGCCGCCCTCGAGCTTCGCGGCTTCGTGGGCTGCGCGGTGCGCGAGTTCAGCTTCGTGGCCAGGAAGCCTGGGTGCAGGGGGGTGCGCATCAGCACGGACGCGTGCTGGGGCCGCTGTGAGACCTGGGAGGTAAAGGGACCCCCCCCCCCACCGCCCCCAACCCCCTGCCCCCCCCCCCCCACCGCCCCCCACCCACCGCCCAGCGCACACTCACAACTCAGCGCCGCATGTTAAGCGCCAACAATCACCGCTACTCACGCAGTGCACCAGGTTCATCACCTGCTACACTCACCACGTTCACCTGTAGGTTCATCACCTGCCAACTCACCACGTTCACCTGTAGGTTCTTCATCCTGCTACACTCACCACGCTCACCTGTAAGTTCATCACCCATGCTACACTCACCACGTTCACCTGTATGTTCATCACCTGCTACACTCACCACGTTCACCTGTAGGTTCATCACCTGCTACACTCACCACGCTCACCTGTAGGTTCATCACTCCTGCTACACTCACCACGCTCACCTGTAGATTCATCACCCCTGCTACACTCACCACGTTCACCTGTAGGCTCATCACCCCTGCTACACTCACCACGCTCACTTGTTGTTTCATCACTCCTGCAACACTCACCACGCTCACCTGTAGGCTCATCACCCCTGACACACTCACCACGCTCACCTGTATGTTCATCACCCCTGCTACACTCACCACGCTCACCTGTAGGCTCATCATCCCTGCTACACTCACCACGTTCACCTGTAGGTTCATCACACCTGTTACACTCACCACGTTCACCTGTAGGTTCTTCATCCTGCTACACTCACCACGTTCACCTGTAAGTTCATCACTCCTGCTACACTCACCACGTTCACCTGTAGGTTCATCACTCCTGCTACACTCACCACGCTCACCTGTAAGTTCATCACTCCTGCTACACTCACCACGCTCACCTGTAAGTTCATCACCCCTGCTACACTCACCACGCTCACCTGTAGGTTCATCACACCTGTTACACTCACCACGTTCACCTATAGGTTCTTCATCCTGCTACACTCACCACGTTCACCTGTAGGTTCATCACCCCTGCTACACTCACCAAGTTCACCTGTAGGTTCATCACCCCTGACACACTCACCACGCTCACCTGTAGGTTCATCACCCCTGCTACACTCACCACGTTCACCTGTAGGTTCATCACCCCTGCTACACTCATCACGTTCACCTGTAGGTTCATCACCCCTGACACACTCACCACGCTCACCTGTAGGTTCATCACCCCTGCTACACTCACCACGTTCACCTGTAGGTTCATCACCCCTGCTACACTCACCACGCTCACCTGTAGGTTCATCACTCCTGCTACACTCACCACGTTCACCTGTAGGTTCATCACTCCTGCTACACTCACCACGCTCACCCGTAGGTTCATCACCCCTGACACACTCACCACGTTCACCTGTAGGTTCTTCACCCCTGCTACACTCATCACGTTCACCTGTAGGGTCATCACCCCTGACACACTAACCACGTTCACCTGTAGATTCATCACCCCTGCGACACTCACCACGCTCACCTGTAGGTTCATCACCCCTGCTACACTCACCACGTTCACTTGTAGGTTCATAACCCCAGTTACACTCATCACGTTCACCTGTAGGTTCTTCACCCCTGCTACACTCATCACGTTCACCTGCAGGTTCATCACTCTTGCTACACTCACCACGCTCACCTGTAGGTTCATCACCCCTGCTACACTCACCACGTTCACCTGTAGGTTCATGACCCCTGACACACTCACCACGCTCACCTGTATGTTCATCACCCCTGCTACACTCACCACGTTCACCTGTAGGTTCATCACCTCTGCTACACTCACCACGCTCACCTGTAGGTTCATCACCCCTGCTACACTCACCACGTTCACCTGTCGGTTCATCACCCCTGCTACACTCATCACGTTCACCTGTAGGTTCATCACCCCTGCTACACTCACCACGCTCACCTGTAGGTTCATCACCCCTGCTACACTCACCACGTTTACCTGTAGGTTCATCACCCCTGCTACACTCACCACGCTCACCTGAAGGTTCATCACCCCAGCTACACTCACCACGTTCACCTGCAGGTTCATCACTCCTGCTACACTCACCACGTTCACCTGTAGGTTCATCACCCCTGCTACACTCACCACGTTCACCTGCAGGTTCATCACTCCTGCTACACTAACCACGCTCACCTGTAGGTTCATCACACCTGCTACACTCATCACGTTCACCTGTAGGTTCATCACCCCTGCTACACTCATCACGTTCACCTGTAGGTTCATCACCCCTGCTACACTCATCACGTTCACCTGTATGTTCATCACCCCTGCTACACTCATCACGTTCACCTGTAGGTTCTTCACCCCTGCTACACTGATCACGTTCACCTGCAGGTTCATCACTCTTGCTACACTCACCACGCTCACCTGTAGGTTCATCACCCCTGCTACACTCACCACGCTCACCTGTAGATTCATCACCCCTGACACACTCACCACGCTCACCTGTAGGTTCATCACCCCTTGGACACTCAGCACGTTCACCTTTAGTTCATCACCCCTGCTACACTCACCACGTTCACCTGTAGGTTCATCACCCCTGCTACACTCACCACGCTCACCTGTAAAGTTCATCACCCCTGCTACACTCACCACGTTCACCTGTAGGCTCATCACTCCTGCTACACTCACCAAGTTCACCTGTAGGTTCATCATCCTTGCTACACTCACCACGCTCACTTGTAGGTTCATCACCCCAGCTACACTCACCACGCTCACCTGTAAGTTCATCACTCCTGCTACACTCACCACGTTCACCTGTAGGTTCGTCACCCCTGCTACACTCACCACGTTCACCTGTAGGTTCATCACCCCTGCTACACTCACCACGCTCACCTGTAAAGTTCATCACCCCTGCTACACTCACCACGTTCACCTGTAGGCTCATCACTCCTGCTACACTCACCAAGTTCACCTGTAGGTTCATCATCCTTGCTACACTCACCACGCTCACTTGTAGGTTCATCACCCCAGCTACACTCACCACGCTCACCTGTAAGTTCATCACTCCTGCTACACTCACCACGTTCACCTGTAGGTTCGTCACCCCTGCTACACTCACCACGTTCACCTGTAGGTTCATCACCCCTGCTACACTCACCACGTTTACCTGTAGGTTCATCACCCCTGCTACACTCACCACGTTCACCTGTAGATTCATCACCCCTGCGACACTCACCACGCTCACCTGTAGGTTCATCATCCCTGCGACACTCACCAAGTTCACCTGTAGGTTCATCACCCCTGCTACACTCACCACGTTCACCTGTAGGTTCATGACCCCTGACACACTCACCACGCTCACCTGTATGTTCATCACCCCTGCTACACTCACCACGCTCAACTGCAGGTTCATCACTCCTGCTACACTAACCACGCTCACCTGTAGGTTCATCACCCCAGCTACACTCATCACGTTCACGTGTAGGTTCTTCACCCCTGCTACACTCATCACGTTCACCTGTAGGTTCATCACCCCTGCTACACTCATCACGTTCACCTGTAGGTTCTTCACCTCTGCTACACTCATCACGTTCACCTGCAGGTTCATCACTCTTGCTACACTCACCACGCTCACCTGTAGGTTCATCACCCCTGCTACACTCACCACGCTCACCTGTAGGTTCATCACCCCTGTTACACTCATCACGTTCACCTGTAGGTTCATCACCCCTGCTACACTCATCACGTTCACCTGTAGGTTCATCACCCCTGCTACACTCATCACGTTCACCTGTATGTTCATCACCCCTGCTACACTCATCACGTTCACCTGTAGGTTCTTCACCCCTGCTACACTCATCACGTTCCCCTGCAGGTTCATCACTCTTGCTACACTCACCACGCTCACCTGTAGGTTCATCACCCCTGACACACTCACCACGTTCACCTGTAAGTTAATTACCCCTGACACACTCACCACGCTCACCTGTAGGTTCATCACCCCTGACACACTCACCACGCTCACCTGTAGGTTCATCACCCCTTGGACACTCAGCACGTTCACCTTTAGTTCATCACCCCTGCTACACTCACTACGTTCACCTGTAGGTTCATCACCCCTGCTACACTCACCACGCTCACCTGTAAAGTTCATCACCCCTGCTACACTCACCACGTTCACCTGTAGGCTCATCACTCCTGCTACACTCACCACGTTCACCTGTAGGTTCATCACCCTTGCTACACTCACCACGCTCACTTGTAGGTTCATCACCCCAGCTACACTCACCACGTTCACCTGTAGGTTCATCATCCTGCTACACTCACCACGTTCACCTGTAGGTTCGTCACCCCTGCTACACTCACCACGTTCACCTGTAGGTTCATCACCCCAGCTACACTCACCACATTCACCTGTAGGTTCATCATCCTGCTACACTCACCACGTTCACCTGTAGGTTCATCACCCCTGCTACACTCACCACGCTCACCTGTAAGTTCATCACTCCTGCTACACTCACCACGTTCACCTGTAGGTTCATCATCCTGCTACACTCACCACGTTCACCTGTAGGTTCGTCACCCCTGCTACACTCACCACGTTCACCTGTAGGTTCATCACCCCTGCTACACTCACCACGTTCACCTGTAGGTTCATCACCCCTGCTACACTCACCACGTTCACCTGTAGGTTCATCACCCCTGCTACACTCACCACGTTCACCTGTAGTTTCATCACTCCTGCTACACTCACCACGCTCACCTGTAGGTTCATCACCCCTGCTATACTCACCACGTTCACTTGTAGGTTCACCACCCCTGACACACTCATCACGTTCACCTGTAGGTTCTTCACCCCTGCTTCACTCATCACGTTCACCTGTATGTTCATCACCCCTGCTACACTCATCACGTTCACCTGCAGGTTCATCACTCTTGCTACACTCACCACGTTCACCTGTAGGTTCATCATCCCAGCTACACTCACCACGCTCACCTGTAGATTCATCACCCCTGACACACTCACCACGCTCACCTGTAAGTTCATCCCTCCTGCTACACTCACCATGTTCACCTTT